TACAAGGTGGAACTCCACCTTGCACATGCTGGAGAGACTGTTTGAGCAGCAGCAGGCGATAGTGGAGTTTCAGCTGCAGCACGCACGGGTCAGTGGCTCTGCACCAGACTTCCCTCCAATTGATCAGAGTTAAAATATTTCAAGTGGACTCACTACAATTACAGGGCCTCTAAAGAGTCCTGTATTGTTATTTGTTGTCACTACCTTCCCACGTCGGGAGTGGGTCATTTGCGCGCCTGCTGCCTTCCTTGCATGTGGTAGCCGTTTCTCAGGGTCCTTGTACGGAATGGAACCCGGATTACCCATTGCCCGTGGAAACCATGGTAGGCGCAGTCAATGGCATCGAAAGTTGATATGGATTGACCTACGAATGCGTCGTCGCCTTCTCGTTGGGGAGCACATTGAAAAAGTGCTCTAGCATTACGAGCTTGGTGATCTCCTCTGGGAACTTGGCTTGATGGTAGTTGAGCCAGTTCTGGGTGGCCCTTGTGATGCCACGGTGTATACCCAGATATATCAGAGCTGCTGCAGAAAATGCGGGCCGTCTGTGTGCGCTTTTGGCATTCTCACCCTGCTGCTGCTCGCCTGTCTGCGCTGCAGCGTAACTTCGGCCTTCCCGCTCACTGCCTCATGAGACTGCAAGCAGCAGCAGGCGATAGTGGAGTTTCAGCTACAGCACGCACGGGTCAGTGGCTCTGCACCAGACTTCCCTCCAGTTGATCAGAGTTAAAGGATTTCAAGCGGACTCATTACAATTACAGGGCCTCTAAAGAGTCCTGTATTGTTATTTGTCGTCACTACTTTCCCGCGTTGGGAGTGGGTCATTTGCGCGCCTGCTGCCTTCCTTGCATGTGGTAGCCGTTTCTCAGGGTCCCTGTACGGAATGGAACCCTGATTCCCCATTACCCGTGGTCACCATGGTAGGCGCAGAAACTGGCATAGAAAGTTGATATGGGTGACATCAGAATGCAAAGTCGGCGTCACGGGGATGTGTGATTGGCCCGAGGTTCTCTAGAGTCAACAAAATGCCTGCGCAACTATAATGTCAACAGCTACTCTGCGGAATATACAGGGAGTGCAGAATTATTAGGCAAGTTGTATTTTAGAGGATTAATTTTATTATTGAACAACAACCATGTTCTCAATGAACCCAAAAAACTCATTAATATCAAAGCTGAATATTTTTGGAAGTAGTTTTTAGTTTGTTTTTAGTTTTAGCTATGTTAGGGGGATATCTGTGTGTGCAGGTGACTATTACTGTGCATAATTATTAGGCAACTTAACAAAAAACAAATATATACCCATTTCAATTATTTATTATTACCAGTGAAACCAATATAACATCTCAACATTCACAAATATACATTTCTGACATTCAAAACAAAACAAAAACAAATCAGTGACCAATATAGCCACCTTTCTTTGCAAGGACACTCAAAAGCCTGCCATCCATGGATTCTGTCAGTGTTTTGATCTATTCACCATCAACATTGCGTGCAGCAGCAACCACAGCCTCCCAGACACTGTTCAGAGAGGTGTACTGTTTTCCCTCCTTGTAAATCTCACATTTGATGATGGACCACAGGTTCTCAATGGGGTTCAGATCAGGTGAATAAGGAGGCCATGTCATTAGATTTTCTTCTTTTATACCCTTTCTTGCCAGCCACGCTGTGGAGTACTTGGACGCGTGTGATGGAGCATTGTCCTGCATGAAAATCATGTTTTTCTTGAAGGATGCAGACTTCTTCCTGTACCACTGCTTGAAGAAGGTGTCTTCCAGGAACTGGCAGTAGGACTGGGAGTTGAGCTTGACTCCATCCTCAACCCGAAAAGGCCCCACAAGCTCATCTTTGATGATACCAGCCCAAACCAGTACTCCACCTCCACCTTGCTGGCGTCTGAGTCGGACTGGAGCTCTCTGCCCTTTACCAATCCAGCCACGGGCCCATCCATCTGGCCCATCAAGACTCACTCTCATTTCATCAGTCCATAAAACCTTAGAAAAATCAGTCTTGAGATATTTCTTGGCCCAGTCTTGACGTTTCAGCTTGTGTGTCTTGTTCAGTGGTGGTCGTCTTTCAGCCTTTCTTACCTTGGCCATGTCTCTGAGTATTGCACACCTTGTGCTTTTGGGCACTCCAGTGATGTTGCAGCTCTGAAATATGGCCAAACTGGTGGCAAGTGGCATCGTGGCAGCTGCACGCTTGACTTTTCTCAGTTCATGGGCAGTTATTTTGCGCCTTGGTTTTTCCACACGCTTCTTGCGACCCTGTTGACTATTTTGAATGAAACGCTTGATTGTTCGATGATCACGCTTCAGAAGCTTTGCAATTTTAAGAGTGCTGCATCCCTCTGCAAGATATCTCACTATTTTTGACTTTTCTGAGCCTGTCAAGTCCTTCTTTTGACCCATTTTGCCAAAGGAAAGGAAGTTGCCTAATAATTATGCACACCTGATATAGGGTGTTGATGTCATTAGACCACACCCCTTCTCATTACAGAGATGCACATCACCTAATATGCTTAATTGGTAGTAGGCTTTCGAGCCTATACAGCTTGGAGTAAGACAACATGCATAAAGAGGATGATGTGGTCAAAATACTCATTTGCCTAATAATTCTGCACTCCCTGTAGTTTTCTTTTTTTATATGTCCCAATATTTTAGGAGCTACCCCAGTTAAAATATATATATATATATATATATATATATATATATATATATATATATATCAGTGTTGGCTACCTCCTCCTCCTCCACCGCTGCTTCCACCTACACCACCATGGTCACCACCTCCTCAACCTATGGGTCAATTAGTATAAACTATGTACACAATAGCAGAGGCTTGTGAAGGCCTTTTCTCCATGCATCAGGAGTTGGGTATTTCTCCATGCATCAAGACTGCAAGAAATGCACCGCAGGCCGCAAATGTTTCTTTTTTTTATATGTCCCAATATTTTGGGGGCTACCCCAATTAAAATAAAAACAAAACAAAAAAAAACAAAACAGTGTTGGCTACCTCATCCTCCTCCTCCACCGCCGCTTCTACCTACACCGCCACGGTCACTGCCTCCTCAACCTATGGGTCACTTAGTATAAACTAATAGCAGAGGCTTGTGAAGGCCTTTTCTCCATGCATCAGGAGTTGAGCTCAGTTTGAACAATGAAAGAGAATACCCTGCACTCCAACCCTCTCTCAAATGGATAATTCTGGTGATCAGTCATGGTTTAGATTTTGATTTATGTTCTTCCAAAGCTAGAATCAAAGATTCCATCTAGTGCTATTTTATGGCTCAGCTGTATTTTGAATTTTTAGGTATTTTATGTTATTTTAAGTGATTTCCCTATCCACATTTGTTTGCAGGGCACTTGTCCTACTTTACCTTACCCCTATTTTACTACCTTTTGCTGTCACGATTCGGGGAACCCAACACTCTGGCACACACACACACACACACACACAGAAAAGGTGCCGTACCGGACCTTAGAGTGGCCGGGCTAAGCACACACAGAATAGTCAGGAGACAAGCCGAGTAAGGGGAACCAGAAGACAGAATAACGTGAAACAAGCCGAGGTCAAAGGGTAGGAGAAGTCACAGAGTCAGATAAACAAGCCAGAGAGTACGTAACCAGAAACACAAGGTAAATCGCAATACTAGCAAGCAAAGACCACAACAGGGCAGGGAGGAACAGGAAAGGTAAGTATTTAAACCATAAGGTTAATTCTGATTGGATAATTTCCAATCAGAATTAACAATCACACGTGGGAGATATCTAGACCTCCCACTGTGATTGAGACACTGTGCCTTTAACGCCGGGTCAGGTGACTGACCCCGGCGTGTACTAACTTGGGCGGTCTCCCAGCATGCAGCGTCATGTATGCTGCTGCTGGGGGACGTGGAGGAAACGGCGGGCGGCATCCGAGGCTGGAAGGATGCCGCTTGCCGAGCCCACCTGGAGGAGGGGACCGCGGACGGCTGAAGGGTGAGTACCGCGAGCGGAGTGCAGCCTCCCCTCGCAGCCGGCCACGGGATCCCGACATTTGCAGCTCTCTAGCCCTTTCCAGAAGTTTTTTAGAGGCATTTGTGCCCAAAAGTTTGGGTGTCCATTGACTTCAATGGGGTTCGGGGTCAAGTTTGGGATCAAGTTCGAGCCCGAAACGGGACTTTTTTCAAAGTTCAGCCAAACCCGCCGGATCCGAACATCCAGGTGTCCGCTCAACTCTATACATGAACTCATATACTCAAATATAAATGCATAGTCACATATATAAGCATAGATGCATAAGAGTATGGGAAAGCATAGGTCTACACATAGTATTTTGTATATTGATAGATAAAATATATTGGAATGCCAATAACACATTCCATCCTCAATTAAAATAAAAATGGAATATTTCACTAGATCTGTGAATTTTTTGGACACCACTGTGACATGTAACAATGGTACAATCCGCACCTCGGTTTACAGAAAACCCACAGACAGGTGCAGTTACCTTCACAGCTCCAGCTTCCACCCTTCCCATACTAAACAAGGCATCATCTACAGCCAAGCCACTAGGTACCATCGCATAAGCTCTGATCCTAATGACCGTAATTCCCATCTAAATGTACTCTCCCAATCTCCAACAAACAGCGCACTACAAGTGGTCTGCCCCTGCCGAATGGTACAGACCAGAAGATGAACCCACTGGACCACCAGAGATCAGTATTTTTCCCTCAGTGGCCCATTGAAAGCAAGAGGGAAGCATGAATGAACATTTTTTTTTTAAATATAAAATATTATATCCCCTAATGCTCAATCTATTTATATAAGTTTACGGGAAAGTTTTACAAATATAAATGTGTCAGTGGTTCAAAATATAAACCATGTGTTTAAATCCACCATATACACTGACAGAAAGGATCATTCATATTCAGTACTGACGTTTCACGGTAATTTAACTTCCCCAAATCTCTTGATGTACCTTATCTATTTTGGAGGCAGTGTACTGTGAATAGAAACATACATTCATTACAATAATCACTATTATCAGTAAGTGGGGAGTACTTAGGGACAGATTTTAGTTGCCAGACTGGGGGTTTGGAGGGAACACTAGCAACCGGGTGTTTAGGGACCCTTGGGATACGTTGTCTCTAGAACTCTTATTTTATTTAACTCTCCACGCTGCAGCCCATGGGGTGAGGATCGAGGAGATGCTACTCGCATAGGCGTGCGCACGGGGTGTGCCGGGTGTGCCTGGGCACACCCTAATCCCCGTGCGCACGCCTATGGTTTGAGTCCTGCAGGAACAGCGTTCCTGCACTTTTTTTGAGCAGGAACGCTGTTCCTGCAGGCACTCAGTGTCCCCTGTTTCACCTCTTGCCCCTGTCATGGGAGGGCAAGAGGTGATGATTCCCCCCCACCCTGCAGCTCAGCCGCGGCGAGGGAGCTCTCTGCTCTCTGCTCCTCTCGCCGCGCGCTGATGCCGGGAGCCGGAATATGACGTCATATTCCGGCTCCCAGCTACAGCAGACAGCCCGCGCGGCGAGAGGAAGCAGAGAGCAGAGAGCTCCCTCGCCGCGGCTGAGCTGGAGAAAGGCGCCTGCCCCCACTGGACCCCAGGAACAAGTCCACCAGCACTCCAGGTAGGAGGCTGGGTGGACATTTAATTTTTTTTTTTTAAATATAATAATTTGTGTGTGTGTGTGTCAGTGTGTGTGTGTGTGTGTCTGTGAGTATGTGCCAGTGTGTGTGTGTGTCTGTGAGTGTGTGTGTGTGTGTCTGTGAGTGTGTGAGTGTGTGTGTCAGTGAGTGTGTGAGTATGTGTCTGTGAGTGTGTGTGTCAGTGAGTGTGTGAGTATGTGTCAGTGTGTGTGTGTCAGTGTGTGTCTGTGAGTGTGTGTGTGTCTGTGATTGTGTGTAAATGTGTGAGTATGTGTCTGAGTGTGTGTGTCAGTGAGTATGTGTCAGTGTGTGTGTCAGTGTGTGTCTGTGAGTGTGTGAGTGTGTGTCTGTGAGTGTGTGTCAGTGTGAGTGTGTGAGTATGTGTCTGTGAGTGTGTGTGCCAGTGAGTGTGTGAGTATGTGTCAGTGTGTGTGTGTCAGTGAGTGTGTGTGTGTGTCAGTGTGTGTCTGTAAGTGTGTGAGTATGTGTGTGTCAGTGTGTGTGAGTGTGTCTGTGAGTGTGTGTGTCTGTGAATATATATATGTATATATATATATATGTGTATATATATATATATATATACACACACACACGCGGCGTATGTTTGTGCTTTAGGGTGCACACCCTAATGCAATAGGCTGCGCACGCCTATGGCTACTCGCCTCTCCAGGTATTTTGGAAATCTCTGGAAATCATGTTATATTTTTTCTTATTT